TAACTGGACAATTCTGAAAGTCCCTGCAAGGATTTACTTCTGTCCAAAAACCTGACTTTGTAGCTGGAGGTACAGGCAGTAACAGTTTATTTGTGTTGTTCTTGTTGGAAAGGAGCAGATAAAAACCAACAGAATATTTCCCAGATATTTGAGCCTCCCAACCCAATTACTAATTATCTCTCTTCCCCTCTGCCTCATCTCCCCCTCCTTCCCCCCTCATTTATTTTGAGATACAGGGCAAATAGGATGCGATCTGCATATGGTCATTCTGAGAAGAACACGTTTCCTGGCAATGCTCTATCTTTCCCAACACAGAATAGTTGAAGAGAAAAAGACAACAATGGTAAATAACAGGAAATTGCCGAATGACATGAATTTTTTAACATGAAAATGGTGAGTTAATTGGGCTTATTCTGTGCAACAGGAAGAAATTTGGTGTGACATTTTCAATTAGCACTGCCACTAAAGGGCAGTCCCAGCACCTCTAGCCTGCAACCATGTAAACATGTCCTTATTCTGACCCTCTGTGGTACACAAAAGCTGGTGCTCTGGGTTTTCAAAAGGTTAACATGCATTTTCATGAGCTAGCTCACAACTGACCCATATAACGTTTATGACAACATTTCATAAATGGAGGAGGGAAGAAGTTTCATATTGGCAAAAATGAGCAGTGACAGTCACTCAGAGGTGACTTTTTTACCTTAAACTGCATATTAAACTACAGCCCAAGATAGCAGTGAGAAAATATGCCATGGCACGGTTGATGGGAGGTTTCAAGATAAACTGCAGAAAGGTAAGAGTGACTCACATACATACATTGGGATCTAAGGTAAGCTGGCTGAATGACAAATAGGTGGCAGAATTTCACTTGACCAAGCAGAGGTGAAAAAAGGCCTCTGATGTGTGGCTGCACGTAGCTGTATGTCAAACAACAGAGCAAGGGGGAAATGCCCCTAGCTTAAGCCCTGCTCTGAGTAGCAGAAATAAGGGCAGATGTCTTAAGAGAGTGTTAGATCCCTAGGCAGATCCACTATGCTTGCCAAGTAAACTGCCATGGGTCTCGATTTTGGCAGTCAATTCTATCAGATGGTTATACTGGAGACCTATCAAGAACAATGCCAGAACAGACCAGATGTGAACTGTGTTTCAGTGGGTATCCTCTGTGGAGGGCATGTAAGTCCCAAATTACAAAGGCATCATGGAAGTGAGAAATGCATTTAGCTGACTTTGAAGCATCTAGCCGCCATCACCTATTTATTGAAACTGCAGTTGAATATAGGTGCCTTATCAAAACTTCAAAATGTCATCCTCAAGGTCAGAAAACTTCCAGTATTTTCATGCTAGTGCAGATGTCACCACCACAGACTAACTTATAAAAAGTAGTTTTGCTAATGTACAAGCTGAATGGGACAGACAACACTACTGAGGTCTGAGCTTACAGGGATCCATAACAGCAATAGGTGGTCAAAGTTTAGGTGACCTACAAATAACCACTAAAACCCCACCAAATACAGTAATGCAGGAAAACAGAATTCCCGCAGAATTAGGCAGGATTTTGGACCATTTCATAGCAAACTATTATGTTCTACCTTATTTTCAATAGACATCCAGTCAAGTAGTCTCATAGTGTTTTTTTAAGTTTATGCAGTGGCTGTATGTATTGTCACAGGTACTACAAATTGTACAACAAAAAACATTATGCTCTGGTTGCTGTGCTGCACATAACTGGCAAGATCTGCCTGAGGATCTGATAATGCAGTACATGTTATATAAAATACTGACCAGTGGTGCACTATAGAAATTGGATGAATGGTTCAAAGAGAATTTATGGTGCTGTTGGAAGATGGATGGGATAAAAACAAGTAACTGTACAAAAGGCTTCTGAAACACTCTCAGAGCCACCTGGTCCCTCTTGCAGGTAGTTCATATTCTTTTGTAATAAAAATGTTTTATTTGGCCTAGCTTACATTATACTTACAGCCTTAGTTTCATTTAAGATGTAACACCTGATCCCTGTATCACTATCCAAGTCCAATAATGACTTATACTGGATACAGCAACTTTTGACTGTGAATATTTCTTCCACCATTGGTAGAAACAATTTTAGTTAGTTGTGTAGTTGTCCCAAACTGAGCTCTCCATAGCAATGAAATGCTTTATTGTACATTACAAATATGTGGTTAAGCAGTAAATCATCAATCATATCCTCTAATTTGATCCAGTGTTCTGTATCAGAGGTTTCTCCCCCAGGTTTTGCAACTTCGTATATTGATCCAAATGGATTCAAGATCCTGTGGTTCTCAGTTATCAATAAATCTAAAGGTGAGTAACAGTGTCTGCTATAAACAGAAAGAGCCACAGTCTCTTCTTTGAAGTTTCTCTGTTGTCCTATAATTAGCTGTTAACTATTAATTAGCAACATGGAAATGATTTAATTGTTGTGTGTTAAAAAAAGAACTATATAATGTCACAAGAGACATGGAACAGCTAGAAAAGTAACTGCGCTCAACTGATTACACCTGCACTCAGAAAAACAAGTAAGGCTTGTGAGGTGGTCAGAATAGCAAGCAAAGACAAGAGCATCTTACAAATATATTAAATACGTTAAGCAACAGATGGTTTAAAATTGATCTCTATACAGAAAAACTCATTTAGTTGAGTTACTGAAACTTGAGTGAAGACCAAGATCAGGGAAAATTAACATCTACCTGGAAGGAGAGAGAAGAATGAGATAGAGCAGACTTCAAAGGACAAGTTGGTGCAGGAAGGAGTACTACCACTTACCGTGCCACCTCAACCTTCCTATGTGGGTTATAGCAACAGATACGTAAGAGGTATTTTTAACAGGATTTACTCAATATACTGCAAAATTCCACAGAAACACAGAGGATTTTCAGCTATGTTTTTTACAGCGTTATACTGTGAATAAAATCTGATTTGAGAGAACTCCATTTTTTCCCCATAAATATTTACTACCTAACTAAATGAAGCAGTCTACTGAGGAACTTACAGATCTTATTTTCAAAAGATCATTTTGCAGAGGAACAGTAGTCAGCAAAAATGCTACTTCAAATATGCATGCATATTCTTTTATCCAGTCAAGAAACTACATATTTAGCCTTATTAGCCAAATGTTATTATTTATAGAGAAACTACATATTAACATACTTTTCACATACAGTAGATCAATATGGTAACTAGACAGGCAGCTGTCTTATTCAATGATGAATGAACTATCATAATAGCTGCTAATAGGCAATTTTCCTCATTAAACTGCTTTTGAGAATAGAAGATCTTTTACTTTCTCATTTTCTGGTTTTTGACAAAATTTTTCATCTTGGAGTATGTAAAGTATCGACAAGAAGACACTTGTCTATCTCTTTTGCCTATAATAGCTACTGTAGTTTATTCAATAAAGTCATTCCAAAATTAATAGCAGTCTGAATGGAGACTGAGTTGCACCTCTCTGTCAATAACATAGCAGTATTTCATTAAAAAAAAAATAATAGATTAATACAGGCTTTCCCGTACTTCGCCAAAAATAAGCATGCAGCTGTGAAAAGAACACTCATTTTTTAACTCTCAGAGAAAACAGTCTGTTTGAGAAAAAAGCACATTTTCCCCTATGAAAATATAAGTTTGTTCAATAATAGGCAAGATACTTCAAAATCACAGAGCATGTTTGGTTTTGCACCACTTTCCCAAGGGTTACAAACCAAGGCAAGCAGAAGATAGCCTTTATTTTAATCACAGCCTTAAAAGCCAAAATAATCAATTTTTTAAATAACAGGCACATTCTTTTTCATGAAAGTCAAACATCATTTTCACTTTAGATATTTTAGTTTATAAATTCTTTAAATTCAGGATTTAAAGAGCATTCAACATTGTTCAGTCTTCTATTTATGTGAATTTTGCATTTCAGGCCAACGCCAGGTCTGAAAACTGCCATGTAGATAGTGACTTGTTATCTGATGATGACAGAATGAAGGTAAAATGTACAAGTACTTAAGTTACTAAATTTCAATCCACGCTGGGAAGTTACTAATGAAGAGATAACTACATATGCTTTCTTTTTATAGTGCATTAAAATACCACTACTATTTACTTCAGATGCCATCTGACTTGCTCAAACAACTTGCTCAGACTCAGACGTGCTCCATCCCTGGCAGCTTTCAAAGCCAGGTTGGACAAAGCCTTGGGCGAGATGGTTTAGCGTGAGGCGTCCCTGCACATGGCAGGGGGGTTGGAATTAGGTGATCTGAAGGTCCTTTCCAACCCTAACTATTCTAGGGTTATATATTTATATACTAAATTCAAGATAGATATATACTGAATAGGCATTGCAATTCTTAGTTACTAATGCATATTTCAGAAAAATAAGTAATATTTATATTTCAAAATTAAGATACAAACCAGACTAGTCATTTTATAGAACTACATACTGAAGTAGTATGATGAAGCAATCTGTATAAACCACAGACACAGTATTCTTGTGTGATGCACTGTAGCAGATTATAACCAAAATAAGGAAATAATATTCTACATACTGCTCTTAAAACTACTTTCAATTTTGCAACATAGAAGCTTCCTTATTTAATATTTCCGCAATAAAAAGCACATGAATGTGGAAAATGAGGTAATTCACACTAATCAACAGATATGAATTATTTTCTTAAATATGTCAGGAATTTTTTTTTGGCAGAGTAATTTGTTACATAACTAAGTATTTTTTTCTTGAAAACAAGTACACTGGCAGTCATATACACCATGATGACCAATAAAAATTACAAAAATCTTCAGAAGTCTAGGGGAAAGATACCTAGAGCCATTGACTCTTCTCCCTGTTTAGATCAGTTCAGAACTGAGTTGCAGGAACTTCAAAAATTGCTCCAGAACAGGGAATGCACCAAAGATTACCCTCATTTAATCTTTTACATTTTGCTTTCACTCAAGAATACTTTTATTTAGGTGAACACTTAAAAGAGAATCAAATCTCAAACCTTCACAAATGTCATGAACTGTTCTACTTTGTCATTGGTGAGCAGCAGCTGCTTCTGCACAGTTTCCAAAGCCTGCCTGCTTTGTTTAGCCAAGCCATGTAGTTGTTGAGATGCAGTAGTCTCAAGTTCAGCCATGGCACATTCAGTCTCAGTCATTTTGCTCTCTAGATTTGTAAGCTTGTGATCCTGAAATATATTTGCAGAGAAATGGCAGTGATATATTAAAAGCTGATATCCATGTGCCACAAAAAAATGAACGAACAAACCTGCCTCCCACACAGTGGTTAACATCACAGAACATTCTATTTGCAACACATAAAATGTAATTTCAACAGAAAAAAATATTTCATTTTCAGTCATCACATCCATGTTTCAGTCTCCAAATTTCAGTGACGTGACAATTAAATCAGAAAAACACATTCCTATTATTCTGCTCTTTTTTCCCTTTCTGTATTTAAATAGTTTAAGCTGGTGACCTTGCAACTTTCCATTTGAAAGTGAGGTATGAAGAAGTTCTGAAGTGGAGCTATCATAACTCCAATATACCTTTTTCTCCAACTCATCTTTAGCCTTGTGATACATCTGCTCATACTGAGACTTCTCTTTTGTAGCTACATTAAGTTTTTGTTTCAGTGAGTCAATGGAAATTTTTTTGTTCAAACAGTCTTCAGCCAGTGCCTTTGCCTGAAATAATGAATGGACAAGAGCAATTTCTATTAAGATACAAAACTCAAAAACGAAAATCAAATAAAAACTAAGCTTACCTATACTGCACATAGTATATAAATAATTTGATTAAACGACCTTTTTCTGAAATTAGTCTTTAACAAAGAAAGATTGCATACAATCCTGTTATATAAAGTTTTGACTTATATTAAGTGTAAAGAAAAACTCTTCATGTGCAGAGTGGTTTGTTTATAAAAATTGTGCCGTCACAGTGCCTGCAAAAGGGAGCAAACCACAACTTCCAGTCATTTTTTCTATCAGAGGTAAAAACATTAGTCAAAACTCAGCTGAATAAATGGTAACTGTTTGCAAGTTAATAGTCTGTAAAGTCTTTTAGATAATTATTATCATTTTGCCATACAATGAAAACACTGATTTTGGGTAAAATGAAAGAGACCAATGCTCCTAGAAAATCATTCAGCTCTTCTGACAGTATTAATCACATTTTTTTTTCCTGGCAATACTGAGTAGCAGGGAATTTCTTTGATCTTCTGCCGAAGATAACGCAAAATTTATCAAGTTGATTTTCCATGTGGAATAATCAAATTAATGTATAGAATTTGGTTCTCTGGAATCTGAGAAATGCAGCATATAAAATACTCAAAGAACAGCATTAAAATACATCAAAGTACGTAATGCCAATCTAGATCTTTTGTCTGAAACCAAACCCAGGTATTTATCTTGTTTCTTACTTTACCTCCCTTGCTTACTTAAGCTCTCGCTCTCTGGCTACAGATTTCTTACTAACATTGTATCTTTGCCATGGAGGGTAAGACAGCAGCTCTCTCTAGAACTGAAAATGCTATATAACTGCAAGCAAAGATGGTGCTTGTGATATACAACAAGCACCCACATTCTAGGAAAGCAAAAGCAAACTAGTAAATTGTTTCTGTCTATTTTGGGGTCATAAGCTGCATAACCTCTCAAACAAATATCATAGTCTTTTTGCTTTAAAGGCCAAAGTGCAGTAAGTTGGTTGGGTAACATAAAAATATGCCAAAATATATACAAGTTCTCCTAGCTTCATTGAAATCATCCTAGAATTTTGCAGGAGAAAATAATTTGCTATAGAACAGACAATTACATTATGCTAAGAACTCAGAATCATTCATAACATTGGAGTAGAAAATAGATTAACATATTAAAGCATTTAGCTACTATAGGCAGGAGAGGTGCATGGACTTCATTAGCGCATGTCATGTAAAATCACATTTGTTTCAGGTCTAATATATCTCACAAACTTAACAATGCATAAAACTAAATCTAACTCCTTACAGCATATCCTCGCAACTCATTGTTCTGAATACTTTAATATTTAATTAGACCTCTTAAGAAGATACATTCAATTATGTTGAATGCATCTAACCTATCACCATATACTGATTTTATACAAATTATAGCAGAGGGAATTTCACCCATAACTGTATGTTGTTTGCTTAAAGCAATATATTGATTTAGTACAGTGTGTTGAAGTAACTTCTGCAAATCCACCAGTTTTTGCCTTTCCTAAAACTATCAATGGCAAGAAAGAAGTACCTTTCTCTCAAGACTTTGTAATGTTTCATTAGAAGTTTTCTCATTTTCTTGATTTGCTTTTAGGCGAGACCTTAAGTCTTCTATCAAATGTCTTTTCATAATAAGGTCCCTCTCCAATCGAGAAATCCTAGAAGGAACAAAGTTACACTGCATGTCACTGTTAGAAAACATTGTTAATATGGAACTACTTCAAACAACTAAAACGTATAAATGCATAACAAGAATTATCATTCTTATAGTTTTAAAACATCTTTTTTTTTATTAAAGGCTGGTGCATTTCGTGCAATTTACCCTATTCTCTACCATTAAAACCAATTTCAAGTCTCTTATTAAACAGACCTATTTCTAAATATCCAATTAATTTGTGATTTGTTTTTTGCTGTGGTATATGCACTACCTTGTCTAATCTGAAATCATAATCATTCTTCTTAGGGTATTTTCAAAAAAGGCAAAAAGCCTGTTGAACACAAAATTTAGTAATTTAATTCATTAAATGTCTCTGATGTTTCATAATTATTTAATTAAAAAAAAGTGAAAGGGGGCAGTCTCCTTTCATTCAGCTGAGAAATACATGAAAAATCTACATCTCTATAATAAGATAATTCTTAAAACATGCAAAACCTAGAAATAACATCAGCATTTCTCAGAAACTTCTCAAAAAAATGAAACTCTTATTTACTCAAAATAATCTCTGTTCAATTACAAAATTATCCGTTATACTAAGCCTCCATTGTTATAATACAAATTAGTATTTCAAACAGAAACATAAGCAATACTTAAATGTGTTCAGGCTTCTGGACTTTATATTTTCTTTAATGAAAGCAAAATGCATGATAATATGTTCGGAAATAAAACATTCTTGATATCATGTTAACACCATATTAAAAAAAAAGGGAAAAAGAGTGCATCTTAAAATTTCTATGTATTTCACATTTATACTATTAATGTTATTTTGGTGATTGTATCTTACAGTTTATGAAAAAAACAGTATCTATTTTATAAAGGAAGCATGGTAACCAGTAACTCTATTTTAAATTTAAGTCTTTCGGTAGAAAAATTCAGTTTCACTTTAAAACAGAAAATACAAAATGCAGACAATTTAACAATTTCAATAGTTCTCTGTTTTTGATATGAAGTAATTTCAGGTAAGTAAACTGCATTCTTTCTACAAACAACAACAACAAAAAGAATGATTAAAGGAGTTACACTCTGGCGCAGAAAAGAAATTCACAGATAGGTTATGTTTTTATAGTAACATCTTATGTTTATACAGTAATAAAATTGTAATTAAAATTAGAGATTAGCATTATATCAGGTAAAGTAGGTAGAATAAAGGTCTCAGTTGCATACTTCACAAAAATACATGTGAATATCTAAATAAGTAATAAACCTTAATCAATTAAAATAGAAACAAACACAACTGGCCCTTTGAACCTTTTATGAATTCAAGACTGGATGTTTAATCTTGTTTAAGCATCTGAACCTTGACACGCCTCTTAGCCCCTAGGCAAAGAATTAATGTATTTGAAAGACTGTGTTTAACAGTGCTGAAGAATTCATTTAGACTTACATCAAGGATAAGATGGTCTAGAGTCTGAGTTTTGATTGAAGGTATTCCTATTGCAATACAGATAATACTGTGGCTAGCTAATCACTTATCAATTTACACAAAATGCAGTTTTAGCATATACTGCTTCAATTTGCAAAAAAACCCCGTAATATTCTGCAAGACTGCAATAAAAAGAAAAAAAACCATTCTCTTAAAATTCTATTTGGAATGGTTAATGTTCTAACAATTATACAGCTGCCACTGGGTGGCACCAAACACAATGGATAGAACAGTGAACCTACTTTGCTTGTAGCTCCTGTATGCGTTCTTCCTTTTCCTGGACTTCGTTTTTTAGCGACTTAATGGTGGTTGATTGCTTAGTGATTTCATTATTCGAATTCTACATTGAAAAGTATTAAAATATAAATAAATAAAGCAGACTGAATATTATAGCAGTCAACAGTAAAATCGAAATAATGGGCTGTGTATTTTATGAATGTTCTTAGAAATTAATTGGTACAAAAACAGCATTCTTACTTTCTAGCAACAGTTAAGTAAAAATATGTTCCTTGGCAAATATAATCAACATCAGTACTCTTCCATTGTTCTAATAATGTATGATTAATAGATGCTCCCCAGTACACCTGCAAGCCCAGTTCACTTATCAGCACCACATTTTCCAGTCAGCTGAAAAGGTAACAGAAAACAAGATAAATAAAATTGGATCTTCATATAAACTACGTCTTTGAATGGTATAGTTCTACAGCACAAGGGGCTTACATCTGTAGAGCAATTATTTCCAATAATCCCTTTTCATGATGTGCATTTAGGAATACAAGAAAACCCACAAGATTTTTATGTGCCTTGAAACTCAACAGCACAAATTTGGCTGTACTAACACAAATCAGTAACTAAAAGGTATGATTCTAACTTTCAGGCATATGTAATCCCAGCGAAGGAGAATTACACAGCTGTTGGCCTTTCTTCATTGTATATAGTAGGAAGTGAAAAAAAACACTCAATTCCTTCATGCAAACACAGATAATCTACATAAGATTTAAATACAGAACAACTGAATCACTCCATGGAAATAAAAATACTAAATTTAACTAAGTAGCCATTTTAGCAATCTGAACTGACCATATGCATTGAATGCCATTGCTGAAAATGGCAGCTCAAAAACATCACATATAGATATTTCAGAACTCCCAAAGGTGTTGCCAAAAGACACATATGTGTAAGCATACACACACATATATGTGTGCATATATGCATGCAGGTTCAGCCACTACAGCTTTTTACTCATTATGAATAAACAATAAGTGAACAGATCAGACATGCTGTAAACAAAGATACTTCAGGAGAATTTCTCTGCTCAGTGCAGACTTGTAACACCTATTAACATTAATGGGAGTATGGTACATAGCTCTTTGCACCTCAAGGGGAGCGTATATTCTTATGTGCATAGTTAGATGTAAAATATTGTTCTTAATAACTTGTCTAGTCTATTTACTATTATTAAAATGTGAGGTAAACCAGAAAACTGTTAAAATAATGCATGCTAGCAGAATATTCCTGACTTTCCTGAAACCTGGCTGTTGAGCTTGAGCTTTGTTAGCGTGAAGCACAGCACCCAGTTAGATGGTTTACACATCAGATATGAATTTGAATATTTAGGTGGGCCTCTGCACATGCTCAGAGGTGAAGACATACGCTTACAGCATTTTGCTTCCAGACTCACCACCCACACTTACTACACTTCCTACTGGCAACGATACAAGGAATCATTACACACAACATAAACAAATACTGCAAAGATAGTTCTGAATAAAAAAGATTAACTAACAAAACCAGGCACTTTGAAATTTTGAGCTATGAGTAAAGCTTTTGCTGCTTTCACATTCAACCCTTTAGGAAAATAACTTTGTATCCCTTTTTTAAGTATGCTAGATAGCTGCAGCAGTAGTTGACAACTGCCAATTTCTTCTGATAAAAATACTTGCAGGACTTAAATTTCTGAAAAATTATTAGGTCAAAACAAGGCTAAGAATTTCAATAACTTGATTTAAATAGCTTTTCAGGCTCTTAGGTCAAAACTCATGCGATTCAGCAACTAGTGATTTTACTAACTTGTATATGGGGGTCACAGACTATACTTATTCTAAATGTAGTCTTGCATACAGTTTACTTTTAAATAAAAATATAATACATCTTTTAAGAAGTAGAAGTCATGTTAGTATTTTTGACATCAGATCTATATATGTTTGCTAAATGCCTGCTGCAGAAACAAAAACCCTGTGATTTTTCAGCCATGTATTTTGCAGGTCACATGTTGCAGACATGTTACTGTTAAGAGTGTTTCACACACACACAAACATTTCATTTTTTAGTTTTCTTACTTCCATAGAGCAATTGACTGCTAGGTTTCTGGATAATGAGCATGCTCATCCAAAAGGAATAACCCTAATTAACAGAAATTACCACTCACCAGCAACAGAAGCAGATAGTCAACCCCAAATCTAAAAATCAACACTCAAGAAGTCAGCATGTATGGTTTCAAGATCTTTCGCATAATTAAAGCAGATCAAATTACGTGCCTTTACAGGGCTACTCCCTGCTGCCCTCATCTCTTTATCAATGTGACCTACCTCTACTAACCCCTGAATATTGATGTTATGCCTTTGGTGTGTTAGAGCCAAGATCTGTAATACCATGATTACCATCAACAGATAAGAGATCTGAGCCCTACACCCTCTCATGTGCTACTACAGCTAATCTAGTACTCAGATTATCTACACCACTCATGTAAGATGGCCTTTTCTACTAGTTGGCCTTTTGGCAGTCGACTTGAAAGTGTGCCATTTCTTCTAGAAGCAAGAAACTGTAGAATTTTGACCTTTTCTCTTTCTTCAAATATTAAAAAGAAAATTACAGAAAAAAACCTAAGTTTAAAACATTCAGTTGCACATATATTTCCTTCAGTGTGAAGAGAGGAAGAATTAATATGTTTGAGGCAGGCCACCTGCTGAGAACACTCCCACAACAGCACAGTCCAGCAACTACATTAACCACATATAACAGAATCACTTGAAACTGAAAAATAGCATCATCAAGTTAGCATTTTCCTACCAGCTAATCTGCAAAAATACAAAAAGAATGTCTCTTGAAGGCAAGAATAGTAGTGAAATATAGGTAACACAACACTGTTACATTATATGAGCTCCCCCATCAACTCACATTTTTGCTCTCTTGTCAGAGACTGCTGCTGCTTATTTCCTTCTTAAAGGAAGCAAGGACTCAATACACTTCTCACTGAAGTAATTCCACAGCATTTTTCAACAAGATGAATTTTATCATTGTGTGAAAACCCAGCAAGCCTCCCTGTATGGCTTATTTGATCTGCACAAATCTTTTAATTATAACTTTAAACTCTCCTCCTTATGACTACATTTCTACTTAACACCAAAGGTTATCTAACACCTAAGTTGCTAATCATTGGCTAAGATACATAAATGATAGCCTATGTGCGTACATGTATACCTGCTTGACCCAGTTATGAAATACTGTTCATATGAATTATCCTCAACACTAGATAATCTGTTCTGTCACCTTTAGTTTGCACTGCAGCTGTTTCATCTCTAAATCGATGTTCTTTGAATGAGCTGGTGTGGCTTCACTCTTTCCAGTAGTTAGAGACAGATGTTCTCTCAACTTCAATTTTTCTTGTAAATCTTCCTTCTCCTGTTGCCACTTGGCCAGGTTGGAGGTCAACACCTGTTTTACAAACAGAAGAAACACAATCATATCCTAAAAATTAGATGCTTCTCTGGTTTGGAATTCAAGAGGAATGAAACAGTATAGATAAAACTAGTTACACTGCACAGCCACTGGCTGAATTTTCTAGTCCACATGAAGATCAAATCTGGCAGGAAAGAGAAGTCAACTACCACTAAAAACAAGCTTTTTTTTTTTTTTTTTTAAGGCAAGCTTATTTAATTTTGACTGTACACATTGGTATTTTTGCTATGACAGGCTAAAATTCTCATATAAAACTGTAACAGTAGTTACTGTTAAAACCTGTTTACCTACAGCCTCCCTGGAATTCAGCAATTATTTTCTACACAAAGCATGAAGAAATACCACCAATGCATATTAAAAGGTGGTTAAATGTCAAATCTACTTTAATGGTGACCACCGTAAGCTCACTTGAACAGCTATGTTGACAACTGCTATAAAACATACAGCTTTCTCTTGGCTTTTGTTGCGATATTTGTAGGGCTTGTAGAGGTTAAAGCAAAGTGGACCAGCTGCACTAAATATCTTCTGGTTGGCTGGTCTGTACTCATGTTGTGCTATTTCTTCCCTTTCACATATATGCACCATAGCCAGAGAACCACATATTCCATAACCTTGACTCTAGGGCTGAGGTACTTAAGTGGTAAAAGCCAAGCTGGAGCAGGACAGGATAACAGATGTTAGTTGTTTATTCCACTGGGTAGGTCTTACCACCCTATACTGGAGCCAAAATGCTTCTCATTTAGCAACATAAATGCTAAGTCCAATTAGCAGACGAGGCTTGCTAGGGATTTAGTTCAAACAAATAACATGCAAATAAACTCTCAGTCTTGTTGCACTTGATTGACAACTGACAAGACTTGATTTTTGCAGCAATATATTTCACAGTATGGAGGTAAGCTTTTAAATTAAGTATTTGTTTTAATTTAAATATCATTGATTTTTTTTTTCTGTAAAATGAAGACCTGAAATAATCTTTATGCTAGTGGTTAACTTTCATGAATCTGTAGTCAGCCAAAGCCACCAATGGCCTAACAACTCTGGCTCCTTAAGAGGGTAACTATTGTACTACCTTATTATTCCAAAGAAGATTGTAATACCAGAGTTTAACATAAGGAACAATTATATAAAATGGTAATTCAAAATCTCTCAAAGGGCAAAAAAACCTTCCTTTGTGAAGAATCATGATGAGAATCTGGAGAAGATGCTGCAGTTCGAAATGACTAAATGTATGACCAATTATATACTGGTACACAAAAATCCATGGGTGAAAGTTAAAGATACTATTCTATTTCCAAGCATTTATTATTCAACTCAAAACCAGATTTTATACTACATGATGTTAGCAGAAAAAAACCTCTTTATACACGTGTTTATATACTAATCATCTGAAGATCACATATATATCCAAATAAAACTACTTATGTTCATGTTTATTCCCATTATAAATTAAATGAGAATGCTTGTAGACTTTACATTAACTTCAAAAAATATCACAGATACAAGAAAGTGCATCCTGCATCCACCTTAACAGTACTTCACACTTGAGTGCATTTATTAAAGCAAATGGGCATTTTATCCATATCTCCAAGATAAGTTCGTAGTAAAGTGGGTTAATCTTTCCATTTTCTTCTGCATCTGCTGTCATTATTGAATAAGAGATGAATAGTGTTTACGAATTTTCTAACTTTCTATTCCTTAATCTAATATATATATTCTCATAATTAATATTATTTCAGTAGAAGACAAAATGAAGTCTACTTTAATAAGCAAAACCAGTAGTAGTATAGAAAGATATAGATGGATATAAGGATGTTAATTTGTCCCGTGTAGCCAATATTTCTACACGAGGAACATCACGATTCAGTGTCTCTGTAATAAATTATTCATAAAAAGAAAAGGAAAAAAAAATCATAGCTAGATCAATATCTCTGATTAAAATTAGAAATGCCCCCGTGTCTGCCCAAGATTGCTTGTGACTCTCAGAAGTTTCTTAGGCTACTGCTGCTGCCAAAATGCATCTGGTCTAAAATGCCATGACTGCAGTGGCTACATTCCCCAAAACGACAGCAACTATATTGAAAAAGAAAGGGCTTTCATGGGACAGATGCCAAAGGCGACAGTGCTACGCTGGTTACAGAATTTACTTAAGTTAGAAGGTAGTAAAAAAAATACTTCAGATATGAATGTCCATGAATTCAGAAACAGCATCAGAACTACCAGGGTAAAGTGAGAGTAGTGTAGGATTTACAAGACAACCCCCCCCCCCCGGCTTGCAGACAAAGACAGTCATGCAATTGCAATCAGCGATATAGAATCATAGAATAGTTAGGGTTGGAAAGGACCTTCAGATCATCTAGTATCAAGAAGGTTGTCTCTTAACTGCTCTGGAAACAATGTAAATGATGTTTCAGGGTAGATGATTTTATTGCTTTATTCTTCTATTTGCAATATATTGACAGGTTATGTGAAAATTCTTTATAAATCTATGTATGCTGTGAAAAACAGCCCCCTAGCCTAGGCAAAATATTTCTACCTAAAAGATATTCCTTGTATTTACTCACTTAAGAATCAAGTTCATTATGCTGCTGCAACTCACTAAGTTTTAGGTCAAGCCTTTTTCTCTTGCTTCTTTTTCAGACATGTCGGGGGTTTGTGCGTTTTCTCCCATGCACACAAATTGTGAGTGACAGAGTAAAAAGGATTTACTCCAGGGGAAAAGGTCACCATGATGAAAGTTAGAATCTTAAACACCAGCTAGACCAGATGTTGGTAAAGGCAGGCTACTGCTGTTACTCCACCATGTAGCAGCCTTTTTCTGCTGCACCTCCTCCAGAGTGTTTTGGCTTAACAGATGTGTATAGATTCAATATTTTAAAATCCATCTATCTTAATCTCCCTGCCCCTGGTATACCCATGACACTCTGTTCTGCTGTACACAAAGGAGTAAGTGATGAAATCTCAGTTTCTATGTAGTCAATGCAAAACTTGCAGTGACTCAGCAATACTTTTTATCATAAGCCCTCTGCTCAGAAAGATAGCTGCATGGAAGGCCCAAAGGATTAATGTAGGAATCTCCTAGAATGGCCTGTTGCTCCTCAGAATCACAACAAACCTGTGAGGATCTTCTAGCTCAGTCACCCTCCTCCTGCAACTGGCATGCATGAAAATTTCTCTTAGTGGTGGCTCATACGGCACTGCCACTGCTGTACATGATTCCATACATTTGTATTTGCAGAATATATTATGCAGAATATATTTGTCCTGGGTTCAGCAGTAGCAGTCATTTTTCTCCTTAGTAGCTGGTGCAGTGCTGTGGTTTTGACTTTCAGCCTGGGAACAGTGGTGATAACACCAATGGTTTTAGTTGCTGCTCAGTAATGTTTACTCTGACCAAGGACTTTGTGAGTCTCGTGCTCTGCCAGGGAGGAGGGGAAGCCGGGAGGAAGCAGAGACAGGACACCTGACCCAAACTAGCCAAAGAGGTATTCCATACCACAGCACGTCATGCCCAGTATGTAAACTGGGGGCAGTTACCCAGAAGAGCTAGATCACTGCTAGGGTTGGGCTGGGTATTGATCAGCAGGTGGTGAGTGGTTGTATTCTCGTTACTTCCCTTATCATTATTATCATTGGTGGCAGCAGTAGTGGTTTGTGTTATACCTTAGTTACTGGACTGTTCTTATCTCGACCCGTGGGAGTTACATTCTTTCGATTCTCTTCCCCATCCCTCCAGGAGCTGGGGGGAGGAGGGGGCGGAGTGAGTGAGTGACTGCACGGTTCTGAATTACTGACTGGACTTAAACCATGACAGTATTCTAGGCAAAATTATAAGATGGGCTGTAAGTCAGGTATTCTTGAAACCCCTTTTAAGCAATAGCATTACCTGATTTTACTACTTCTTTAGTAATCCAATATAACTAATATAAATACCTCAGATGGTTAAAATTAGTATTTGCCACCCATCGTACAACCCTGGGACATGAAACATTACAATATGCATCTATATGTCTGTAAGTGATACATAGTCAACATATTCCGTTATCTTTTCTCTAAGAAATCTGGCAGGTAATAAAATACACTTGCTCTATGCATAGATATGAATATCCTGTACCAAGGTCTATTTCAGAATCTAACTCTGCTCATCTTAAATCCTATTTTCTCACAGCTTTAGTTTGATTGTTAAGTATATCCAGGATAAGAAGTACTTGTTGCACACATAAACCATGACAGAACTTTTCTAAACGTATTGGAAGGCACATAGTCAGGTATTTATAATTTTACACACTCTATCAAACGTTACAAAATAATGATAAATCTATTTACAATATCCAAGGCAAAATTTATTCAGTCCCTCTTATCTTGACCCTGTTTTGTTCTCTTCAAGAAAAACCTACCTGATGGGCCACAGGAAAAAAAAAAACCCCAAACTGAAATTACCAAAAATGGTACATTGCTATCTGAAAATACAAAAGATATGTAACTGACTAAAATACCAACTGTGCCGCATACTTATTGTGAATCATATAAAGGCAAATAACTCCAAATCCGCATCATGCAAGTGCTGTAAGTGGTTGATTACTTAGTATTCTAGACATGAAGAAAAAATATGAAACAGAAAAATCTTTGGTGACTTAATATGCTAGCCCTGAATTTAAATAAAGATGCCCAAAAGCAAGAAAAAGTTATAAAATGTAAAAGTTATTTGTCATATATTCTTCTGAAATTTTAGTAAAATTTACTTTATCACTGAGTTAAATTTTTTTTTCAGCCAAATCCAGTTTTCAGCTGCTGACTGTTTCACAAAATGTCAAGTAAACGAAGGTAATGCAGAGGACTTTTTGCCAGTTCTTTAGCTAGTTGTTAGACTTCAGTATCCTTTAGAGACCATTAAGTACCCTTTGGCTAATTGGCCAATGGTAGCTTAATCCTCTTTTTATTCTAACAGCACTATTTTAACACCCTTTGCACTCTGTCAG